GTTTACTGTGCGCATAGAATGATAATTAAATGGGTCTAATAGTCAGTATTTCATTTCTGTTCACTGTAAAGCAGCAAACTCTTAAACACTGGGAAGTAGGTTAGCTTTTCAAGAGTTAGCAATTTTCAAATACTGAATCTGTCCAGTGGTTACCATTGCTCTCAGATCGTGTTTCAGAAGATGACGTATTTTTGTTGAGGTTGTGTTACTTATTAAGCTACTGTCATGTTTAAAAAAAAATGGAAGGAAAGTCCTAGACCTCAGTCTTAGCACTAGTATCTTCACTTGCACTTCATCTAATTCATACATACTTTTTTGCAACGCAGAATTCACTGTTATAAGTTTGGGGTTTTTTTGTTTGTTTTTGTTTTGTTTTTTTTTTACTTTCATTTGCAGATGCTGGAAGTACGTCTGTTATATGAAATAAATGATGTTGAATCTCCAGATGGTGAGCAGGTGCCACCTTTACCAACTCCAGGCACAGGTTCCAATCCTCAGTCCATTGTCCCCCAGTCTCACCCATCTACTAGTAGCAGTTCGTCTGATGGACTACGTGATAATGTCCCATGTTTAAAGTAAGTGTATTCTGTTATGATTTTGTTGAGCATGAAACTTAAGAATATTTATGTGATGAGAATGTATGAACTTTTACGTTATTACAGAAGATTCATTATTGGGGAAAATCCTGCATTTCTTAGAGCAACATTTTCCAAATATCTGAAAGCTGAATTCTGTTTCAAGAAATTAAGTTTACAGTGCAAGTTTCTTTAAGCTTAGTATTTTCAACTTGTAAAATTCTGAAAATGCTTACCTCATACCTTTTGCCTGATATTTGAAATTTTGACATAGATGTTAATGTAGTGTAGATCTTCATGCTTTAGTGCAAATACTTTTAAATGGCAACAATACAATTATTATTATTAAGTCTTATTGTCCTTTGAAATGAATAGGCCAGTTAACAATTTGTGGCTCTCCGTAACTTATAAGAATTTTGGTTGCTTTTCATTGGGCTGTAAAACTCTAAGGCTCTGGAAGGCTAACTGAGAGGTAACTCTTTATAGGCTTGGAACAATAGTTTTTCATAACTCTAAGGGAATTGCTTTGTATTTTGGGAACAGAAAACAGACAATAAATAAAATGTCCTATTCTTGTGCGTCTTCATCATTTAATTTTTAAAATAAAGTTCTGCACAATGGCATTTAGTGCTCCCAGTAAAGGTCTTTTGAGTTTTGAGTTGTTAAATTAGGAGTTTTTTTCTGTATCAGGTATTAAGGGTTTTTTTTAATGTGTGAACTTCTGTTTATTTCAGAAATGAAGTAAAAAAAAAAAAAA